ATGGCAAGTTGGCTGTGGTGAATTATCCCATGGTGAATTAGTCATGGCGAGTTGGCTGTGGCAAGTTATCCCGCAGCGAGTTAACCATGGTGAGTTAGCCATGGTGAGTTGGCCATCGCGAGTTGGCTGTGGGTGAGTTGGCCGCGGCAAGTTGGCTATGGCAAGTTGTCCTATTTTGCATTATTGTGATTTCTGACACTCTCTGCCAGCTTCCCTTGAACAATTATCGATTATCGTTTGCCACTGCAATTCTTCCATCATGCTGCACTGTCTTTCTCTCAAAGGATGACCCAATGGGCCATTGGTTGTCTAGTAATAACTAAGGGGCAGGAAGCCATTTGATGGAAGCCTCTGTGTAATATTGCGTGGAATCAAAAGTACATTCCATTCATATTTTCTTCAGAGACTGATTAGATGACTAAAGCTTCTGCCATGCAAAAATCTAATTGGAGAGCATGATTGGTGACTCTTGGCTATGGATGGGTTTCATTGGATGATACACCCAGAGGCGTGGGGGGAAATGTAGGATCAAGGGTGACAGTGAATTACGTATTACGCCCAGGCAAATGCCGACATGTTAACTTCTAATAAATCCTTTGAAGTTTTGGGAGTGTGGCTTGAGGCTCATGATTTAATTGGAGTAACTGACGGAATCCTGACATTTGTCTGAAGAGGTATTAAGAATGAGAACACCTAAGGAAAGTTAAGGTTAAGTGCTCCAGCCATAACAAGTGTCTCTGTCTTTCTGCCTCCTTCCCCATTTCATGTCTGTCATTTTTACAGATCAGCTGTGTCAGAAAGGTCTTGGAGGAGCTAAAACTTCGTGTGGTGGAAGTTACAGATGAGGGAGCCACCCTGGATGGAAGCGATGTGCTCTTTACAGGTGAGTTGGCTTTTTATCCTTCAGAATAAGAAGATAGAACATAGAATAAAAGAGTTGGAAGGGACCTTGGAGATCATCTAGTCCAACCGCCTGTTCACCCTATATCATTCCGGACAAATGAGAGCCAGTGAAGAAAGATCTGATGTTGCAGAACCCAAAATAGCTTGATATTTTAAAGCAGAAGTGAACAATTATTTGAGATGCAGAAGTTGCCTTTTGTTTTGGGGGAAAAATTTATTCATTATTCATTCATTCAATTGATGAACTTTATTTAAGTTCATAGGATGCAGTGAGTCATTCTAATCTGGTAATTTCTGGGATTTCTTGATGTTCTCTGAGCTTGACAATTTTCTTCCAGGTGTTTCATTACCAGGTTTGATAACATCAGTGCAATGTTAATGAAGCATTTGCAGGAAAACAACCAGAGAACACCAAAGTGCCGGCAGTTTAATCCTGAGCTGCATATATATTCTCTACTATTGAAATTTGATAACATATATGAATAGGATCTGGCTTGTCCAGGTTTTTTTTTTATTAAATTGGAGAGGTAGTTCTTAAAAATGTTAAAACTACATTAGTTTTTCTGGGCTTCCTTCCTAAAACAAGATGGGAACTAACACTATTGAATTTTGATAGTGTAAGAAAGCATTTCAGGGATTACAAAATAGAGGGCTGGAGGAGGCCAGGTGCAACGCTGAGGCTGCAAATTAACTCACCCTAATATTAACAGCTGGGTGACCTTGGGCCTTTCATTTTCTCTCAACCCTAAGAAGGCCAAACCACTTCTGAAAAACTTTGCCAAGAAAACTGCAGGGACTCGTCCTAGCAGCCTCTTAAGAATCAGATGCCATTGAACAGAAGGAAAAACCCTCCCGCATCAACAGCATGCTTGAGGATTGAACATTTGTTCAAATAAAGTCCTCTTTATTATATATCATAATCCTACCTATTAAGATTTTTCTTCCAGTGAAATGTGATGCTTAGTTTTTGGTTGGATTTGAGCTGTACAGGTAGTTCTCAACTTACAACAGTTCATTTAGTGACTGTCCAAAATTACAACGGCACTGAAAAAAAAGTGACTTACGGCTGTTTTACGTAGTTAACAACCTAACATCCCCATGATTGTAGCTTAACAAATGTCTCACTTAGCAAGATAAATTTTGGGCTCAGTTTGTGGTCGTAAGTCGAGGACTGCCTGAAGGTTTCTTCAATCTGCAGAGAGCTTCTTAAGAGCTGATGATCCTGTTCTCCACCTTCCTTTTCTCTTCCACAGGTAGAGAATTCTTTGTGGGTATTTCCAAATGGACCAATCACAGAGGAGCAGAGATGGTAGCTGATGCTTTTAGAGTGAGTTGACTTTCATAGAATAGGTCATCCGCCTAACTCAAAGATATATTTATACACGGATGCTGGATACTGTTCTCGGTTTTTCTTCTCCTGTAGATTTATATTCTATTTATATTTATATTCTATATTGAACAGGGCCAATTTTGAGGTTGTCAGGGGAAGAAACTGATTACGAGCATAACTGCACTTACTGTGTCCCCCCTCCCAAAATAAGACCCTGTCGTATATTTTTTTGTCACCAAAAAAAGGCACCAGGTCTTATTTTCGTGGATGCCATCCACTGACTAACCTCATTTGCGTGCGTCACCCCCAGCCTCCTTTTTGCTGTCAGAGGCCTTCAGGAACTTCTTCTGCAGCTGGCAAGGCTTTCCCCGAAGGCTTCTGCAGCCGATAACAGAACTCTGGATCGATCCAGAGCTTCGTTATCAGATACAGAGGATTTCACGAAAGCCTTGTCAGCCTTGATGGCTGCAGAAGAAATGGGCTGGCAAGGCAGGTGTCGGGGTGTGTGAAGCCTGGCTACAACTGTCAAAAGGTAGGTAATAGGGCAGTTCCACCCCCCTCATCCCCACCCTACTTTAATTTTTACCAGTGTATTCTGGATTGCCGGGATCTTAATTAGGGCTTATTTGGGGGTTAGGGCTTATATTGGGCGCACATGTAAAAATCAAGCTAGGACTTATACTTCCAGGATAGGTCGTATTTTCGGGGAAACTGTAATAACAATTGAACAGACAGCACACCATAAAATTCTCACTTTTAGGTTTCAGAGGTTTATTAGAATTTAAACATAAACCACTTACATTAATCACATTGCAATGAGGGTGAGTTGGACAAGCTGTCAAAAGGGACGGCTTGAGGCCAATTGGCAACTTCCCATTATTCAACATTTCGTTATATACCTTAAAACCACAAAATCACATGACTTTCAGGATTCTGCCAGCTTGTCCTAGCAAGAGGGCCAGTTGTCCATTCCTCCAACCTAAATGTTACAACGTGGTTATTTTTTTACATGTACAGTATTTTAAATGCACACTTCCTCTTTGCCTACAACATTTTGCAAGCTAAGCAACTGCCAGTATTGCAAAGCACCATTTTGACATGCTTAAAGGTCACAATTTCAGCAACCAGATTAACACTGATTTTATTTCAGGCCCTTCATATATTATACATGATAGTGCAAGTAAGTAGGCCTTTATTTAAAAACAAAGGTGTACATTCATATATTTTTTTGCCTTACAAGAGAATAGCATGATGTAGAAACAATAACGACAGTAAGAACATAATATCTCAAAAGATACCCGAAAGGTACTTTCTTGTTTTTTTCCCCCTTGAAAACATTTAGCTTCTCATCCCAAAAACTTATTCGCTTCTTGTATGAGAAGTGAAATTTTAAAAAAACAAACAAACAAGAAACTTATTGTGCCTTTTGGAAAGCACCTTTGAGAAAACCGTAACCGGCATGATTGAGAATCTCCCATACATTACTTTTCCAAATTGGGATTTTTTTTTCACTTTAGGGGGAATTTTTTCTCCCAGAGAGATCCTGTTAAAATGTCCGCAGTAGGGGATTCTGACACGTGTTTTAAGCAGCCTTTCTCAACCCAATAACCCATTGCAGAATGCAGTGCTCTTTAACCCAACCACGTTAATTGAGAATAATAAGGATGCTAGTCCAAAATGGATGGCAGTCAGGTAGCAAATACCTCACAGAGGAGTGCAAAATTCAGTGTTTGCTGTTAGCTTTGAACACTTTAGAACTTCAGGAATACAGTCCAGCGCATATAGCTAGACAACGATGATGTCCGTCTCTGTCTATGTTTCCATCCCCCAAAGAAGGGGGCTCTCAATTCACCCTCTAGATCTGGAACACAGTCTTGGTGGCTTAAAGATTTGTGGACTTCAACTCCCAGAATGCCCCTCTAGAATGGTGTTTCATGGCCTTGGCGGCTTAAGGATATGTGGACTTCAACTCCCAGAATTCCCTTGCCAGCCAAGGACTTCATCCCCATCGGAGGTATGCTATATGATTGACATGTGAAGGATTTCTGGTCTGAATCAGATGCTGTGGGTCCAGAGTTCCCTTGAAGTAACCTTACCTAAAGTGATCCATACTTGAAATGATTCAACGTTTTTGTACTTCTTTACTTCTTTAATTCCTGTTTCAGAATCTACCTGAACCTACCAGGAGATACCTGAGTTCAATTGAATTCAGATATCTCTCACTTCTGATATTTGTGCTTGTGAAGAAATTGGTTTTGTTGATTCGACATATTTGGTGTTATAGGGATGGCTAGTTATATACTAATGCGTAAAATCAAGAAGTTGAGGTTGGAATGTGTTTATCTTGTACAGTGCTAAGAAGAGTTGGAAGTCAATGCTCCCTTTTCTTTCTTTTTCTCTTTCCCCTTCTGTCTCACACCTCCTTTTCCTCGCTCCCTTTCCCTCCCTTAATTTCCTATTTTCTCCTTTTCTTCTTTGTCGTTTATATAAAAAAATAAAAATGATAAATGGAGGAATTCCGATATCTCATGGGTTTTCAAGGTGAGCCATTTGGTGATGGGCATTGAAACCCAATAGTTCTCAGCGGGCCTCAAATTGTGAAGTGTGATTTATATATACTTTTCAAGTGAAGCGTGATTCATATATACTGTTCTAGTGAGGTTAAGGCAGGGGTCTGCAATCTTAAACACTCAAAGAGCCATTTGGACCCATTTCCCACAGAAAAGAAAACACCGGGAGCCAATAATTTAACAACGGGTGTGATTGGGTGGGCGTGGCCAACTCAACGTCACTCACTTCCACCCAGTCACCTCCTGCTCTGGAATATGGAGCGAGTCTCCATCCCCTGTCATCACCCTTACCTTCTCAGGCCAGGCGAGGAGTAATGGGGAGGGGAGTGGCCGGCCAGTGGTGGGATCAGCCGACAGGGAGCCGCAACAGAGGGCCGAAAGAGCTGCATGTGGCTCCAGAGCCGCAGGTTGCAGACCCCTGGGTTAAGGGTAAAATCACGTCCTTGATAGGAGATAGGAAAGAGAAGAGATGTTCTTACATATGGTTCGGGGGGCTCTGCAGCAGCTCAAGCAGTGTTCTCTTCCTGCAGGATTTTGCTGTGTCTACCGTTCCTGTCTCAGGCACATTGCATCTCCGCAGCTTCTGCAGCATGGCGGGACCTGACACCGTTGTCATTGGCAGCAGTGAAGTGGCCAAGAAAGCCATGAAGGTAATTCCTGGATCCCCACAAGATCTTTTCCTTAAAGTGCCTCCAGGCAGTGGTGGGATTCAACTCGTGTAACAACCGGTTCTGGTGAGTGCATGCTTTACGCACGTGTGCCGTGTTTCAAAACCACCCATTTTCAGCTCTAATATTTACTTTTCTACTGCAGCCCCGGTGAGTAAAACAGCTGAGGCACAGCAATTTGTGCTGCGTGAATCAGCTAAGCTGCAAAACACAAATAAAGGACAGACTAGGGCCAGGGGCAGATGGGCAGGGCCAAATGAACACCGGAACTACCGGTTCACTTGAACTGGGCCGAACCGGGACAACCCTACCCCTGCCTTCAAGTTCTTGGATCGATCTTCTCCTTCTTCCATTCATCCCAGTCCCCAAAATGTCCTTGCCCAATAGCCATCAATGCTGGCCGTTGTAGAGGACAAGGAATTTCTTGCTGACAAGTCATCCTTTCCAGAAGAGGAAACAGAGCAGGCTGGCCAAGGGATCGCTGCTCCGTTTCATGCCCAAAGAAATGCAGTACAGGTAGTCCTTGACTTATGACCGGTTGCTTAGCAACCGTTTGAAGTTACGACGGAACACCCCCCCCCCCAAAAAAAAGATACAACCCAGATTAGAAGTTCCGGTGGCCATCCCTCTCCCCAAAGTCACATGATCACATTTTGGGTACTAGGCAACCAGTTAAATATTTATGGCAGAGGTGGGTATTCAGCAGATTCTGACCAGTTCTGGAGAACCAGTAGTGGAAATTTTGAGTAGTTCAGAGAACCGGCAAATCCCACCTCTGACTGGCCCCGGCCCCATCTCTTCTCTGCCTCCCGAGTCCCAGCTGATCGGCTGGGTCTTCTTTGGTTGCCCTGCACAGGACAATGGAGCTGGAAAGCAGGTTAGTGTGTTGGGGAGGGAATGGGGATTTTACAGTATCCTTCCCCCAGGAGTGGGGAGGGAATGGGGATCCTTCCCCTGCCACGCCCACCAAGCCACACCCACAGAACCGGTAGTCAAAATTTTTGATTCCCACCACTGATTTACGGCCATTTGCAGTGTCCTGCAGTCGCAGGATGGCGATTTATGATATTTTTCTGTGAGGAACTGTTGTTTATTTCTGATTTCCAGCAAAACAACAACAACACCAAACCCCATTGCAGACAATGGTCTCGTTTAACAATTCCTCCCAAAAAAATTTAAAACCAGCTTGGCTCTGTGATGATCCGCTTAATAACTGGCACAACTTATGACCATAAATCCAGCCACAATTATGGTTCTAAATTGAGGCCTACCTGTAAGCTCCACAGAAAATTCTCTGCAATCTCTTGACAGGCAAGAAAAAGAATGGTTTTTTTTTTTGTTCTATGGGTTTATTTGAGCTATGGTGGCACATTGATTAAAGTGCAGTACTGCAGGCTACTTCTGCTGACAGCCAGCTGCCTGCAATTTGGCAGTTCGAATCTCACCAGGCTCAAGGTTGACTCAACCTTCCATCCTTCCGAGGTGGGTGAAAGAAAGATCCAGATTGTTGGGAGCCATAGGCTGACTCTGTAAACTGCTTAGACAGGGCTGTAAAGCTCTATAAAGTGGTATATGTCTAAGTGCTATTGCTATTTTCAAAGTTATGGGCATATTTTCCAACACACAGCAGACTAGCCATTTTGCTTGTTTCTTGGACACTTGGGATGTTGGCTAAATAAAGCTAAGTGTGGATTGCTGCCCACCCAGACCAGCATGACTTTCCTAGAATAGCTGTCAGTGATAATCATCTCCAGCACCTATTATTCAAGAGATATGCTGCCTTGGACAGGAAGATTTAATTTTGTTTTCACAATCAGTTAGTATTCACAGCCTCGTTCTCCACGAATCTCTCCCTATCTGAGGCTGCCTTGAGTTTTATTGTTTGATTAAAAAAAACACACACACACAGAGACCAAAGCTTTCTATAAATAATAGTTTCCAAATATCTTGCTGAGGTACATTCTGCAGAATAATCCTGCTTCAGGGGGAAATTGGCTTGTCCTCACAGGCCCGAATTGACCACTGATCTGGTTTTTTTACATATAAGTAATCAGAGGTGGGATTCTACTGGTTCTGACCGGTTCTATAGAACTGGTTGTTATGATTCTGTGCAGTTCGGAGAACTGGCAAATCATGCCCCTGGCTGGCCCCGCCCCTCCCTGCCTGCCCCTCCCCTCCCCGCCCAGTCAGTCCTTATCGTGCATGCGCAACATTGCACACATGTCCGACATTGCTGACAGCATTCTTCCCCGCCCAGTCACTCCATAAGGCAGTGGTGGCTAACCTTTTTGGGCTCCTGTGCCAAAAATTGTGTGTTCACTGGCACTCGTGCGCTTGTGTGCCAGCACCCAGAAAGCAATGCATGCCCCCCACGCCCCCTGCACAGGTGCACGCAATCCCCCTGCCCCCCCTTACCTGCACTGTGCCTCACAGCTGATTTTCAGCCTCCCAGAGGCTTGAAAAAAGCCTCTGCAGGCTGAATAGGCCCATTTTGTCACTTCTGGTATTAACAGGAAGTGACAAAACAGGCCAATTCGGCCTGCAGAGGCTTTTTTCAAGCCTCTGGGAGGCCGAAAGAGGCCTCAAACCAACCGAAAATCAACTGTGAGGCGCGCACATGCGCAGTGAGGTAAGTTTGCCTGCGGCTCGTGTGCTGGCACAAATGGCTCTGCGTGCCATCTGTGGCACACGTGCCATAGGTTCGCCATTACAGCCTTAAGGGTTTTTTTTTCCCCCTCCTGACGATCAGCTGTTCCTATGATCAGCTGTGCCGGGATTCCCCTCGCTTACTTACTGCTTCACTTCTCTGAGGCCCAGGAAGGCAAAAAATGGAGGGGGAGGCACAGCACCCCTCCACCCTCCATTTTGTGTCTTCCTGGGCCTCAGGGAAGCTTCCTGGGAGCAAATATCCCCCAGGAGGCTTCCCCAAGGCTCAGAAGGCCCCCAAAAATGCGGGGTGGGGGTGTTTGCCAAAAAAGCCATGCCCACCCAGTCACATGGCCATGCCCACAGAACCGGTTGTTAGAAAATTTGAATCCCACCCCTGCAAGTAACCCTCGACATATGACTATCACTGAGCCCCAAATTTCCGTTGCTAAGTGAGATAGTTGTTAAGTGCCCCATTTTACCTTTTTTGCCAGGGTTATTTGGGGCGAGTCACTGCAGTTGTGAGATAGTAACGCGGTTGTTCAAGTGACGCTGGCTTCCCCATCGACTTTGCTTGTCCGAAAGTCGCCAAAGAGGATCCTGTGATCCAGGGACACTGCGACCGTCATAAATATGAGCCTGTTGCCAAGCGCCCAAATTTTGATCACATGACCACGGGGAGGCAGCAACTGTTGTGTGGAAAACGATCATAAGTCACTTTTTGCAGTGCCGTTGTAACTTGGCACAGTCGCTAAATGAACGGTTGTAAGTTGAGGAACTATCTGGATCTGATTTAGGAAGGCAGGGTTGGGGTTTTTTTTCAGTTGCCCTCAGAATTCAAGTTGTGTAAGAAAAAGAAAAGCCGGAAATGAACCAAAGGGGATTTTTTCCCAAGATACAGCTGGACTTTCTGGTTTTTCTTTGAAGACGTTTCGCTTCTCATCCAAGAAGCTCCTTCCACTCTGACCATTCCCCACTATCCAGTCAGAGCAGAAGAAGCTTCTTGGATGAGAAGTGAAACATCTTCAAAGAAAAGCAACCAGGATGATTTGGGGACTGCACACTAAAACACATGAAGAACGGTTGCAGGAACTGGGCCTGGCTGGTCTAGTGAAGAGAAGGACCAGGGGATACATGATAGCAGTCTTCCAATATTTGAGGGGCTGCCACAGGGAGGAAGGGGTCAAGCTATTTTCCAAAGCACTTGAAGGCCAGACAAGGAATAATGGATGGAAACTGAACAAGGAGAGATTCAACGTGGAAATAAGGAGAAACTTTCTGACAGTGAGAACAATCAACCCATGGAACAGCTTTGCCTTTAGAAGTTGTGTGAGCGCCATCACTTGAGACCTTCAAGAAGAGATTGGACTGCCATTTGTCAGAAATGGTGTAGGGTCTCCCGCTTAGGGAGGGGGTTGGACTAGATGACCTATAAGGTCCCTTTCAACTCTGATTATCTGTTAAATCTGTTAAAAACCAGAAAGTCCAGTTGCCTCTTTAAAAAAGCACCTTTGGGACAACCATGACCTGGATGACTGAGAATCTCCACAGACATTCGGAAATGAATCCGTTCAAGAAAGAGTGGAAAGGGGATGGATAGCAAATGAAAATTATGTTTTCGACCTAATCTTCATTAGAGCTGTAGATGGCTTGAGTTCCTCTAAACCCCCCCTTCTTTTTTTTTTTTTTCTGAAGACCATGGAGCAATTAACTGATCACCACTACGAAACGCTGACAGTTCCTGATGACCCAGCTGCTAATTGTATCTACGCTCGTCTGGGCCAGAAGAGTAGCGTTCTTTTGCATCGCAGCACAGATGAATATCCGAACAGCGTGCAAGTAAGACGAAGGGGAGACTTGGGTTTCATGGAAGGATGGGGACGCTTGATGTGGGTTTTTTGGGGGAACACAATGGGTTCTATCTGCAGCATATGATTGACTAGTTCGATACCCGTGCTTCGCTACAAAACTATGTGGTTGGGCTTAGTTTTGGGGGAGGAAAATAAAGGGGGGGGGGAAATCTGCCTCTGCCTACCAGCATCCATCGGTATTCATCTGGCTAACATCCTGTCAGTGTGTGAGAGAGCTGAGGGCTGTTTGGAAACTGAAACAGTATTTGCTGTGTGAGCAAGGAGACAGCAAGGAGCTTGGGTGTGGCTTAGCTCAACTGTTCTGTACTGAAGCTGATTGCTGCTGTGAAACTAAAACTGAAACTGAAACTCCTCTTAGAACAGATTTCTTTTCAGGTGGGGAAGGGAAGTAGAACTCCTTAGTAGCAGAGCATGTTAATAATATACGAAATACTAATGCTCTGATGGTCATTTTGACAAAATCCTTTCTTAGTGAGCACCTAGAAGCTAAGAGGAACATACGTGCCAAATTTCAAGTTTGTAGGCTTTACGGTTCTGGAGATTTTGTGATGATGCATGAGTGGTATTTCGCTTTTATATATATATAGATTGATTGTTTATGTGCCACCAAGTTGTGTTGAATCTTAATGACCACAGAGCTGGACCTTCTCCAGAATTATTTGGCCCTTCAGGACTTTCAAAGGTGCACCCATCACCGCTGCTGGTCCTCTTCTTTCCTTCACTTTTCACAGCCTGATCAATTTCTCAAAAACAAAAAGAAAACAACAACAACCCCCCAAAACCCCTTTGCTCAAGGAAAGCTCATCTAGTCCTGCCTTAGGTAGGAAAACCAGCTGTGTGACTTTGGCCCAGTCACTCTCTTTCGGCCCAACCCACCTTACGGGATTGTTGTGGGTAACAGGAGGAGGAAAGAGTATTAGGAATGCTCTCTGCCTTGAGCTATTTATAAAAATAATAAAGGCAGGCTAAAAATAAACTAGCTGTCACAATGAAAATCACTTAATCTCATAAGGCTTGGACAGGTTCAACTATAGTTTCAGCTGGGAAACTATGAGTACCCTAGACCAAGCCGAATCCAAATATTCTAGGGAATTCCTGGAAACCTGGCATTCAGAACATGCCAGCCATCACAGAGATAAACCACATTGACACCCTATTCGAAAAAGACAATAAAAGGCTAAGAAAAGAACAAAAATTGTGCATTGACAGGAGATAGGCGGTTCAGAAATGTGATGAGGATAGAAGAGAGAGAAGGAGGGAGGGAGGGAGAGGAGAGAGGAGAGAGGGCTAGAACACATCCTTTCTAGCAACCAACATTCAGGTAAGCAGGGGTTAAAAGCAGACAAACAATGAAGGAGAAAATGCTATTCAAGAAACTACTAAGGAGAAAACTATAACCCCAACAACACTCGCAGGGCAAGCTACTGTACCTAAGCAGAGAGCAAATGTTCCCTAGTCGTTATAATGAAACATCTGCAAGCAAACAACCAAATGAAGAGAGCACCAAGCACCCCTCAGTTCAACCCTGAGGTACAAATAATTCTCTTCTATTGGGACACATTTGAAATATCAGAAAGGTAAAGGTTCTTATACTATTCACATCCGCAAATACCAGTATATACTGAGAAAGCTCCCTGGAACCCATTCCACTTTTTTAAAAAAAAATAAAAATAAAATTTAAATAGGAAACCAGTGTAGTGAAAAATGAGATGCGTTAAAGCAGGGGTGGGCAAACTACGGCCCGCGGGCCACATCCGGCCCTTTGGTCTTTTTAATCCGGCCTGCCAAAGATTGGTACAGAATTAAGGTTTGATGTGAATGATTGAATGATTGCATTCATTTGATTTTGACTTGTGATGACAGGCATTTCGACACCAGGTGGCGCATTAGGCGCAGTGACTTGATTTTGCGGAGATTTTGCAGTTTTTTATATGTATCGTATCTTGTGCTGACCCGGCCCGTCTGTCAAATTTTAAAAGTCAATGAGGCCCCCGAGCCAAAAAGTTTGCCCACCCCTGCGTTAAAGGCATTGGTATGATCCCTGCAGCCAAGCCCCAGGCAGTCTGACAAGATCAAAAAAGCAAGAAGTGCAGATCTCTAGAAGGTCTCTTAATCTTGGTCTGTTTTTTTTTATTTAAAAAGGACATACTGTAGTTTATTTAAAGGCACAGGCTTCCGTGAACTGCAAGTCACCTCATCCAACCCACTGTTTCTTGAGATTTTGTGAGATAACATGAGACCTTTTTAATGTAAGTGAGTTCAACAATCTCTCGATCTATTTTGATGTTTAAGCAAAATGCTGGGAGTTTCAAGTAGCCAGGATAATAAAATAACAGCGTTGGAAGGGATTTTGGAGATCTTCTAGTCAAACCTTCTGGTTGAGCAGGAAACCCTATACCATTTCAGACAAATTGTTGTCAAATCTCTTCTTAAAATCTTCCAGTATTGGAGCACCCATAACTTATGGAGGCAGGTCACTCCACTGATCAATTGTTATAACTGTCAGGAAATGTCTCCTTAGTTCTAGGTTGCTTCTCTCCTTGATTAGTTTCCATCCATTGCTTCTTGTCCTGCCTTCAGGTGTTTTACAAAATAGCTTGACTCCCTCTTTTTTCAGATAAAAGATAATCAGAGTTGGAAGGGACCTTATAGGTCATCTAGTCCAACCCCCTGCCCAAGAGGGAGACCTGACAAATGGCAGTCCAATCTCAAGTGATGGTGCTCCCACAACTTTTGAGGGCAGGCTGCTCCATTGGTTGATTGTTCTCACTGTCAGAAAGTTTCTCCTTATTTTCCAGGTTGAATCTCTCCTTGTTCAGTTTCCATCCATTATTCCTTGTCTGGCACTTTAGGAAATAGCTGTGTTGTCCCTTTAGATATTGAAACATTGCTATCATATCACCCCTAGACCTCCTTGTCATTAAACTAGGCATACCCATTCTTATTGAAGATATAAACACTGTTCCTCTCTGATGTAAGGCATAGGGATTGTGATAAAGAAAATAATCTGCCCTACCTAATTCCCTCAACCGTTATTTGTGTGTTTTAGCCTCCAGTCACCTAATCATCTTTGTTACTCTTCTCTGCACTCTTTCTAGAGTCTCAACATCATATTTAAGTGGGTTTTTAACCTATCGTAAGTGTTGATTATCGATTTTGAATCGGCCTCACATTTGAATTACTAACTTGTCTTCAATAGAAGAGATTATCTGTACCTCAGGGCTGAAATGTGAGGTTCTTGCTGGGTTTGCTTGTAGACATTTCCTTACTCAAGTACCATCATTTTATTTTATTATTTATCTATTTAACATCACTAGTGTGAGCATCTTTCCCGTCCTTCTCCTCCTCACCTCATCCCAGTTTAAATCCCGCCTCGCTTCAGACACACCATGCACCTGATGATGTGGCCTACAGCTGAATGAAAATGTACACCGTTACAAAAACGTTACTTAGAAAAAGCGTGACTAAACTCCTGATTTTTAGCAACCATACCCTATCACAATTCTCCTCTTGCAACGTTTAGAAATTGTAAGTGTATTCGTCCCAGCCTCATTTATGGTAAGTGAGTTAAGGTGGTTCTTTTCTGAATGATTGAAAAGCTTCTTTTTGCAGATCGTTGGCCATCTGAAGAAAGTTGCCATGTATGACAACTTACCAGCAAACTTGTCTCCCATCCTTGGGTTGTATATATCAACTGACAGAAGCGAATATCTGTAGCTCAGGGTTGAAATGAGGGGTCCTTAGTGCTTCCCGAGCTTGGTTGTTTTCTTGCAGTCGTTTCATGACCCAAACTAAGTAACATCGTATGTATATATACATATATATACTTTTCCATTCCTTTATTAGCCTGTCTACCACAATGGATGGAAACTAATCAAGGAGAGAAGCAACTGAGAACTGAGGAGAAATTTCCTAATAGTGAAGACAATTAACCAGTGGAACAGCTTTGCCTTCAGAAATTGTGGGTGCTCCATCACTGGAGGCTTTTAAGAAGAGACTGGACAATCATATATCTGAAATGGTTTAGAGCAGGGGTGTCAAACTCGATTTCATTGAGGGCCACATCAGGGTTGTGTTTGACCTCGGGAGGACTGGGACGGGGGCAGTTTGATGCCACTCGTGTCGGGGGCACCTGTGGTGGCCAAGCGCTGAGGCAGGGCTTCCCTCAGACCCTTCCTCACTCTCATTATAATCTTCCTTCCTTCCTTCCTTCCTTCCTTCCTTCCTTCCTTCCTTCCTTCCTTCCTTCCTTCCTTCCTTCCTTCCTTCCTTCCTTCCTTCCTTCCTTCCTTCCTCTTCCCTTCCCTTCCTCCCTTTTCTTCTTTCTCCTTCCCTCTTCATTCTCCTTTCTTCTTCCTTCCCCTTTCCTTATTTTTTCTTCCTTGCTCTTGTCCCATCTTTTCTTTTTTTTCTTTCCTTATTCCCTTTCTCCTTTCTTGTCCCTTCTTGGAGGCTCAAATGCAAAAGAGGAAATATTTCTCCTTCTGTTTTTGTTTTTTTTAAAGTTTGTTTTGCTAGCCCTCTGCTGACAGAGGCACCGCGGACTGGTTCTTTGCTGTTTCCAGGGTGGCCCCGCAGGCTAGATCTAAGCTCCCTTGTGAGCCACATCTGGCCCACGGGTGTTGAGTTTGACACCCCTGGTATAGAGTCTCCTCCATATATATAGAAGACCTCCGAGGTCCCTTCCAACTCTATTATTCTGTACTCTGTACCCCCAAAGATCCTTCTGGGATGGCAAAGAGCATCCCAGAAACTAATTTACCTTTTTGATAATTGAATGTTTTGTGACTAATGGGTCTGTGGTGGCGGCCATTTTCTGAGCGAGCAGGTCTCTGAAATCAATTGCGTTGTGAGTGCGTTGTGAGAAAGTTTTAAGGTTGCCACATCTCAAAATGCCAGGTGTGGCTCCAGTTCTGAAAACACGATCTATCCCCGCTTTAAAGAACCGAGTTAGGAGGGGCTGCATTTGTAAAGAGAAATAACATGTTTCTGTTTGCTTGTGTTCTTAGCCTTTTCAGAAGCTTCCAGATTACACCCTGATCCCTGCGGCGTGCACAGAAGTAGCCAAACTTGGTGGTACTCTCAGTTCCTGCTCTCTTCTCATCAACAAGAAGCTGGAGATCTAGTGCCTATGGATCCACACAAAAATACAGGTTCCCCCAGTTCCTGGAGCCCTTTCCTTGTTTTCTTCGTGCAGAGCAATGTAGCTCTTCTTTTCTCCACTTCCCTATGAAGCAGAGGGCCACTCTAATTCCCATGCCTGCTGATTAGGTCACATTTAAATTTGGCATCTGTTTCTTTTTTAATTTACATTGGACCTTCTCTCCCACCAAGTCATACCTCTCTTTACTTTCTCTCTTTACCTTTTTTTTTTTATGTTACCCTTTAGAAAGATTTTTACTCTGGCATAGAAAAGGGTTTATATCTCTTGCTCCCAAAACTTAATAAAAGCTACACCAGGAAGCTTGGCCTTTCAACAATTCATCAGTAACTTCTATTTTAATAAGGTTCCCAAATTTAAAGCCTACTTGGATGAATTAAGATTAACACCACTTCTTCTTCTTCTTCTTCTTCTTCTTCTTCTTCTTCTTCTTCTTCTTCTTCTCCTTCTCCTCCTCCTCCTCCTCCTCCTCCTCCTCCTCCTCCTCCTCCTCCTCAAAGAGAGGATTTTCTGGGACAAGATTATTGCAATAGATACTGAGATATAGTTGTGGGCAGCCTTTTTTTTTTTTTTTTGGAAAGATCCTTAGGAGCTTTCATTGTGAAAGCTCATTGTGGAGCTTTCACCATCCAAAATGGTGGCCAATATAGGACCTTTGTTTTTCTCTCTTTCTATATCGTTATATTAGTTTTGGAGAATAGAGGTATTTTGTAGCCAAGGTCGGCTTGCGATTGTTATTGCAAATGATCTTTGACTGGCTTGGCAGACAGATCATCTTCCATTGTTAGAGAACTGGATAATTCTAATACCATTGGTATTGTGGATTAGGAGGCATCTCTATAACCAGTAATGGTGGAAATCTAATAAGTCTCAGTGGTGATGAAGGTTCACATGACCTTCAATGCCTCTGAAATGTTCTCAAAAGTAGCAGTAGAGGAGAATATCTGCAGCTCAGGGTTGAACTGAGGAATCCTTGGTGTTCTCTGAGCTTGGTTGTTTCTTGCAGACATTTCATTACCTGACTAGGTTACGTCATCAGATGGGTAATGAAACCTCTGCAAGCAAACAACCAAGCTCAGAGAGCAGCAAGAACTCCTCAACTTTGTAAATGGTATCTTATATCTCTGCTTAGCATACTGTATACCACGGTGCTTTAATTTCGGGTTTCTGAGAGTGTAGAGTTATTCTCCACTGTTTTCCCAGCTCACAACAGTTTCCTCAATGCCACTTCTCTGCAAACTCACAAGACTAAAGTCATCACCGAGGACACTTTTCCTTCAGCAGCACCACGTTATGTATTTGTGTAATGTGGATGAAGGAGAACTTGTAACAATGTTCGTGAGAACAATTCTGCTGATGACCAGTTCTAGAAGTCTAGACAATTCACTCACTGCCTCTTTTAACCCTCTGTGGAATCCATTTAAAAAAAAAGTAATAAATAAAAAAAACTGCCAACAACTCAATTTCTTAAAGGGTCTCTCTTCTTTGGTCTCATGCTTGGATTTTGGTTCAGCCTACCGTCGTCCAACTGAAGAGCTTCCATTTTAACAGGATTCTTTTTTTTTTTTTTTTCATTATACAGGTAGTCCTTGACTTGTGTCCACAAATGAGCCCAACATTTCAGTTGCTAAGCAAGACATTGGTTAAGTGGAAATGCCTGTTTTCAGCCTCTGGAGCCCAGGGGAGGCCGTTTTTGCCCTCCTGGAGGCTCGAGGGTAGCCTCTGGAGCCTTGGGAGGTTGAAAACGGGCCCATTTCGGCACTTCTGGTATTTCCAGAAGGCCCAATTTTCGGCCTCCCGAGGCTGCAGAGGCTTTCCTTAGCCTCCGGGAGGGTGAAAATAGCCTCAAACGGGCCAAAAATCAGGTGGGAGGCGCGCGCATGCACAGTGCAGGTAAGTTTGGCTGGGGTTCGCATGCCCACACAAATGGCTCTGTGTGCCACCTGTGCCATAGGTTCACCATCATGGATATATGATATCAAATATTTATTGCCAAACTTGGCTTTTCATGTACTACTACTACTTTTTTGTGTGTACTCGGTAGGAAGGAAGAACAAAGTTCTCACTATCAACTCATTAAACATTTTGTATACACGTTTATAGTTGACAGCAGAAAGAAGGGGGGAGGAGTTTCAAAGAGCAGGCAGCAGTGTGGAATCAAAAGTACGTTCCATTCATGTTTTCTTCAAAGACTGATTAGATGACTGAAGCTTCTGCGGGGAAAAAAATCTAATTGGAGAGCATGATTGATGACTCTTGGCTATGGACGTTTTTCATTGGATGATACACTCAGAGGGGTGGGCGGGGGGAAAAGCAGGATCAAGGGTGACAGTAAATTACGTATCTCAGAGTTGGCTATGCCCAGGTTAGTGCCAGACGTAGAATGTTAACTTCAATGTTAACTTTGGGAGTGTGGCTTGAGGCTCATGATTTAATTGGAGTAACTGCCGGAATCCTGACACTCACTTTGTAAACATTAGAGGAAAATTTCAAGTAGGTAATGAAATCAAAATTTCCATCTGTAGGATCCCTGGATGGGAGTCAGTGATCCAATACTATCAAAATGTTTAATCGAATTGGTGTTTTTCCTTGGAATATCTCCATTGCTACAGCCACTTTCTTTTACAAAGGGAAAGAAAACTCCTTCCGCCAACCATCAGTTCATTTCCAAGTACAAGTAGACCTCAACTTACAACAGTTCCTTTAGTGACCATTGGAAGTTACAACAGTACTGGAAAAAACTGACTTATGACCATTGCAGCATCCCCATGGACACACAATAAAAAATTCAGATGCTTTGGCAATTGATTCATATTTATGACGCTTGCCGTGCCCCAGGATCATGTGATCAACTTTTGCGACCTTCTGACAAAGTCAGTGTGAAAGCCAGATTCAGTTAACAACTTTGTCAGTAACTTTTGTGGTTCACCAGCGGCCTGTGCAGACAGCAGCGGAATCGGACAGTGGGGAAGAAAGGGGATCAGTCCGGGAGTCTGAGGAGGACTCGGACAATGGTCCTGCGTCCGGTGCAGAGATGGGGCCAGGACCATCTGGGAGTGGGGTGCTGCCTCTGGAGCCTTTGGAGTCTGGTAGCAGCGAGACAGAGGACCCCGGGGAGCCTGTTCCCAGTGTGCATGTGCCCAGAGCTGCTAGAAGGTGAGAGCAGCTGAGACAAAAGGGGTGACTCAGGAGTAAGGCTGGGAGGTGATTGCCCCTCCCATAAGGGATAACGGACAGGCAAAGATGATGAAACCTTTGCAGGAAGCAAAGTCGTTCGATTGGTTCAGAGTCATTCTTGAAGCTCTTCATACTTCAGTTGGTTTTTTTTTCTAGTTCATTTGATATTTCTGTTATTGGCAGCACTTCACAGAAAAGAAAGGTGGGTGCTAAACAGGAGAGACTGTTTGAGATTAATTACCGGCTGGGAATGAAAACAATTCCCAGCGTTGCAATAAAATAAGACTTGTTTTTAAAATAAGCATGTGCATAATTACGGTCTAGGAAGCCTTGGTCAGAACAGTAACTTAACAACTGCTGTGTTTCACAACTGTGGCAAGACGGGTTCGTTAAATGGGACAACATTCACATAACAACTGTCTCGCTCAGCACTGTAAATTTTGGGCTCAATTGTGGTCGAGGACTACCTGTAAAAAGGTAAAGGTTTCCCTGTCCGGTCATATCCATCTCCATGAAATGGTGCTCATCTTCATTTCTTGGCCGAGGGTCATGTGGTCAGAATGGCTATGTACCAAAGACACACGGAACTCTCTTCCCACCAAAGTAGTACCTATTAATCTACCGTATTTTTCAGAGTATAAGACACACATTTTTCCACCTCCAAAGTGGGTGGAAATGTCTGTGTCTTATGGAACGAATGTTGTCGAAGTTCCACCCACCCGCCGGCCCCCACCCTTTGCCCTTTGCCTCCCAGCAATCTGACTCCTTGCAGCAAACAGCAAACAGCCTGTTTCAGCTTCAGCGCAGCCTGATTAGCACAAACAGCTGATGATCAGTTGGATCGGCCTCCCGACGATCAGCTGTTTCAGGCTGCAAGGATTGCCATTGCCTATCGTTGCCTCCGTGCGCCCCATTTTCAGCCTCCACACACCCCATTTTCTGCCTGTTCCGATCCCCGCTGCCCGGAATGGGCCAAAAATGGGGCACAGGGAGGACGAAAACGGGGCGTGGAGGCTGAAAACCGTATGTGGAGGCTGAAAATGGGACGCAAGGCTATGGCAATAGGCTGTGGCAATCTCTGCAGCCTGAAGCCGATCCAACCAACAATCAGCTGCTTGTGCTAATCAGGCTGTGCTGAAGCTGAAACAGGTTGTTTGCTGTTTGCTGCAAGGAGGCAAATTGCTAGGAGGCAGGGGCAGATTTTCCCCCCCCCAAAAGCTAGGTGTGTCTTATACTTTGGAGCATCTTATACTCTGAAAAATATGGTACTTGCATTTGCACACTTATATTTATAGTATTTCCACATGAAATACGGTAAAGCGAACAGATTTTTAACCATTACGTCACCACAACTTATGTCTGAATCTTCAAGATCTGCCTTATTGTCCCTTCACCATTGATCTGTCTCACAACAGCATGGGTTCAGGTGTTTCCAAAGCCACCCCAGGTCTTCAGAACATGGTTTCCCTTGAAGAGAAAAATCTGACTTCATTGGCTTTCAAAAGCGGAAGCAATCATTTTAATGGTTGCATCAAGACTCTGCTCTGGTTGGCACATGAAGAAAGCGATCAGAAAATAACCAATAAGAAAAATAATATAATAAACATAGGTAGTCCTCAACTTTACAAATGTTCATTTAGTGACTATTTGAGGTTACAACGGCAGTGAAAAACGTGGCTTAAGACCGTTTTCCACACTTACAACCATTGCAGTATCCCCGTGGTCATGTGATTAAAAGTCAGACGCTTGGCAATCGACTCATATTTATGACAGTTGCAGTGTTTCGGGGTCAGGTGGTCCCTTTTTCTGACAAGCAAAATCAATGGGGAAGCCAGATTCACTTAACACCGTGTTACTGACTTAACACCTGCAGCGATTCACTTAACAACGGTGGCAAGAAAGGTCGTAAAACGGGACAAATGTCAACTCGTAAAGCATTCCTGGACTGCTCTTGAGTTGCCATAGGCAGGAGGGAGAAGCTCGGTTGCTATGACCAGAAGCACATTCCACGCATATCTTTCTCCAGGTTGTATCCCAGGTTACTAGAGCAAGCCGGAGAGGTGTGTTTTCTGTAGCCCACTCTGTTGGAGAATGTGATTTATGACACACCCTGGGAGGAGGGGGGGGGAAACAGGGCCATACAGTCGGTGGGCAGTAAATTACATGGGGCAGAGCCAATTGCACTTGGGAAAAGTGCCGGCATTTGCTCCTAATAAATAATTGGATTTCTTTTGAAACTTGGCTCGAGGCTCATGAATTAATTAGGGCATCCGTTGGAACCCTGACAACAAAGCTCACATAACAAATGTCTTACTTAACAACATCAATTTTGGGCTCAGTAGTGGTTATAAGTTGAGGACTACCTGTAATAACAAAATAAAAATAAAAACAAGACCAATACGTAATAAGAAATAAGACAAATATATTTAACGGTCAATAAAATAGCAATAGGTCCAACTCTTCTGGCAAGGATGTGAAGAGATAATAGTTTTACCTTTCCAAACACTAGAAATGGGTTTGTAGTAGAAAACCTTAGGTTTATATCTCCTTTTCACTCTTGACAGAATATTTTGGATTCTGCATAACCACCCCGTTGTGGTATGCAGATCTTAGAATAAGTTAATGGATTCAAATTTGCATCAGGAACCCAGACTTTAGGGAGTCCTTCAACCTCTGGGCTGTTGTATGGGTGATAGGGAAAGGGTTGAGTAAGCTCCACAAGAGTTTCTTCAATTGCAGCCTTATTGAGTAGAGATTGGAAAAATAAATGCAGCTGTGTGCACTGTCTTTTGACAGATATTCTGGAGCCTTCCATCATGTCGGAGCAACTGTGGTTAGTTTGGTCTCCTCATCTGAGATAAAGGTTGCCCAATAGTTTTAAGCCTTTGTGTGGATCACAGCTTGAATGGCTAATGTGTCATTATGGATGTAGCCAGTCCCTGGTTCGTGTAGTGAGTTCAAGGGGTGGAATTCTGGGAGGCCGCTGGCCAGGTTGGTTTCGCTGATGGGCCGCTGGAATGAAGACGAGGACTCCAAGGAAAGGAAGGAGGTGGAAACGTGACGATTGTTGACTTGATCCAACAAAGTGAAGGTCACCTACATTTTAAAGAAGGGAGAAATTATATGCACTATATTTTGCACATTATATTATGTGCACCAATTTACATGCACTAAACGAGATAGCATTGGTCTGGAGCCATGTATTTCCTTGTCTCTAGGCCAGATTACTTTCTGGGTCTTTCAAGACCATGAATTGTAACCTGGACTAGGTTAGGGGGTAAAGAATGTGGGGCATGATTTTAGGGGAGGAGGTCAGCTCTAGAACCCAGCATTTCAGTGTGCCTGAGGGCTCAACTCTTTTCCTACTTCCACGTAACACTTATTAGGGTACATAAAGCTACCAGCTGAGGTCCCAAATGTGCTTTTTCAGGAGGCAACTGGACTTCGTTGTTGTTTTTCTTTTGAAGACGTTTCGCTTCTCATCCAAGAAGCTTCTTCAGCTCTGACAGGATATCCTGTCAGGACTGAAGAAGCTTCTTGGATGAGAAGCGAAACGTCTTCAAAAGAAGTCCAGTTGCCTCCTGAAAAAGCACCTTTGGGAAAACCATGACCTGGATGACTGAGAATCTCTACCAGCTTCTACCAGCTGAGGCCATCCATTGGCCTGGGCTTAAGCATAACCACTACAGATAGGCCTCAACTTTTCTTGCCACAGTTCTTGAATCACTGCAGTTAAAAGCTACTAACATAATTGTTAAGTGAATCCGGTTTCCCCATTGATTTTGCTTATCTGAAGGTCGCCAAAGGGGATCACATGACCCTGGGACACTGCAACCGTCATAAATACGAGTCAGTTGCCAAGTGTCTGAATTTTAATCTCGGGACCACGGAGGATGCTGTGATGGTTGTAAGTGTGAAAAATGATCCTAAGTCACTTTTTTCAGTGCCGTTGTAACTTTGAACGGTCCCTCAATGAACTATTGTAAAAGTCAAGGATTACCTATATGCTCACAACAAGTGTAGATCTCTCCCTTGGCTCCTTCAGTGATGCTATCAGGATTTGTTCCCAGTGCTTAGAGCTGTGGAGGTCTGGATGTAAATCTAATTCTAGCAAGGCAGGGCGGCTGTGGACTTTAGCATCTGACTGGGATGGCACTCTCTCGAAAAGAGTTGGCATGCAATTTATTCTGATATAGGCTTCCCCACAGCACGAAGTCGATCCTCATCCTGATAAACCCCTTTCATTTAATTTACAGTGAATTTCCTGTCAACTCATAAAATATTTCTATGGTCTTTTTATAGTTGCCAACAGAAAGGGAGCGGGGAGCGGCGTGGCAGCCTGCAAAACCGAAACTGCATTCCATAAATGTTTTCAAAGATAGTAACTAGGTGACTGAAGTTTCTGCCTCTCAAAATTCTAACTGGAGAGCATGACTGGTGACTCTTGGCTATGGATGTGTCCCATTGGAGAATATGAATTATGATACACCCAGGGAGTGCGGGAAAACCAGGGTGAAGGGTGACAATGAATGATGTGTCTCAGAGTCAGCTACACTCAGGCAGTGCCAGACCTTTTAATTCCCAATAAATCCTTTTGAAGTTTTGGAAGTTTGGCCCGAGAACTCATGATTTAAATGGGGTTAAGTGCTGGAATCCTGGCATTTCCTTTCCAATAAAGTCCCGCCCAACAGTCTTTCAAAATAGTTCCCAGTTACAGACCTTTATCGGGCTTGGAGAGTGGCTGATATCTTTCAGATGCCGCAATACTTGGCAAGCATGCCAGAATGAACTAATTGTCTCCTACAAAGCCCCATTCACCATCCACCTGTGGTTTTACTCCCAAGTCAACCCTTGTTCCTCAGCTGTTCCCTTCTTCTGGCAGCTCTGTGCATGTGCACACTGGGAACAGGCTCTAGCTGTTCTTCTGCCTCACTGATGTCTGACTCCGAAGGCAGCTGATAACTGTCAGACGGTCCTGTCCCCATCTCTGCCTCTGATGCAAGGCTTTCATCAGAGCCTTCCTCAGACTCCAGGACTGGCCCATGTTTCCCGCCCAACCTCCTCACTGTCTGAGTCTGCCGCCAGCTCCTCTGGCCACTGTCGGGCCACAACACAATTTGGGAATCCTCTTGAACTTATAGCTGCTGTTTGGCGAACAAGTGGCGGCCACAGCCAGGAGAATTGAGGGAGGGAGCTTCCTACGTCATGTCTCCTTACCACCAGTTCAGAAGCTCTTATCATACCTTATGTTGGAAAGGCCACTTCAGCTGGAAATCGTATTCTCCTTTCATCACAACCAGGAAGAGTGAAAGGTGAGTTCCAGTACCGGTTCCATCTCCGTTCAGGAAAAGCTTCAGGCAAAGCTTGTAGCCATAACGGGTGGTATAAAATGCTGGAGGAGCATGAAAGAGAAAAAGACAAGATGCTAAGAGCAGCAGGAACAATAATACTGACTTGTGTCTCGTCGATAAACTCTATTGCAGGATGAACCAGACAAACTTTCTGAAGGAAATTGGAATCTAATTCTCCCTTCTCCATCTTTTCTCTTTCCTTCCTCCTTTCCTTCCTTCTCCCCACCCTTCCTCCCTTCCTTCCTAGTCTCTTCGAGCCTGGAGGCACCTTTCCCTTCCCTTCTCCATCTTTTCTCTTTC